TGCCGTGCCGCTCCACGTCCTCCTCTTCCCCCTGCCAGGCAAGCAGAGCGCAGCGGGAGCCCCGTGGCCCGACCCCGGACAGCCCACCAGCTCCAGGCTGCTCCTGGCTGTGCCTCAGTTTCCCCACTTGAGGGAGAGCACGGGTGGACGGCCGGGGCGTCCTGCCCAGCGCTGTGCGGGCGCGCAGCCCGGCACCTGGCCGTGTTTATCTCATTAGCCGCTTGGAAAGCGCCTCCGAAAGGCGGCTGTTTTTCTTGGCGCTGGCACCCGGGTTCCCAGCACCGAGCTTTTTTCCAGGCTGCCTCCCGCGCTGGCCCCGCGCTCACAGCAAAGGCATTCGCATCGGCCGGCACTCTGGTTACAGCCCGGCCATGGCCGGAGCTGGGCAGGCAAGCGAGCACCCACCAGGACAGCCCGGATCAGTGGGGAGCACCCCAAAATGGGGCTGAGCCCCGAGGGGTGTTTGCTGAGCTGGGGGATGCCATCGGCTTGGGCTTGTGTCTGCCTGGGTGACCCCGGTGCCACGAGCACAGCGTCCTGGTGCCCCGCTGGCACTGCCAGGCAGGGCTAGCATGGCACAGCATGGCATGGCACGGCACCCAGCCCTGCACCCTGCCAGCGAGCTCAAGCTGGGTGCCAGCGTCCCATGATCACCCGCCCCGCTGCCCTTCCTGAGCCCAGGGGTTTTGGTGCGGCGGTGCCCAGCCGGAGCCTGGGGGTGCGGGCACCCCGCCCCCCTTGCGCTGCCCTTCCTGAGCCCAGGGGTTTTGGTGCGGCGGTGCCCAGCCGGAGCCTGGGGGTGCGGGCACCGCGCTCCCCTTGCCGGTGGGCAGCCCCGCATCAAGCGGTGCCGTGGGGTCGGGCTGTTTGCCGGGATCCCTATGGCAACGCGGGAGCAAACACAGGCACTCCTCCGTGGCTGAGTCACCCCAGCCCGTACGAGGTGCCGTGATGATAACCCAGCCCTCCACCGCTGCCCGCTCAGCTGGGTGGCCAAAACTGCTCCAACCTGGGTCCCCAGCCACCGGGGACGCCCCCATTGCAAGCCCTCGTGTCCCAGGCTGCCTTCCCTGAGGAGAGGACGGGGACGGGCCGCCGTGCCCCGGGGAGGCTGGCAGGGGCTTGGCGGGAGGGATGCTGCTGACGGCGCCGGGGTTGGCTCTCACCTGCTCAAGGGGCTCCAGGGACTCCGGTCTCCGGCCGCGGGCGGCAGTGCCGGTCTTGGGGACAAGGCGGCGGCACAGGCACAGGCAGAGGGACGAGACCAGCAGGATGCCGACGTCGGGCGCCACAAGACGCACCGAGTTGGGGATGTCTCTCAAGTCCAGCCTGGGGGGGAGAGTGGGGCAGGGGAGGGCTCAGGGGTGCCCTCCCCGCCACTGCAAAAAAAACCCCGCCACTGCCAGCCCCCAGCCCCACACTGCCGGGATAATCTTACCTGGTGACCCCGATGTGCCGGGCAAGGACCTCCCAGGTGCTGCCTGCGGGGAAGCAGGGGGGCACTGAGTTTGGCAGACCCCGCGCGGGCAGGCTCCGAGCCCACCCAGAGCAGGCAGCTTCCCCATGGGGAGAACGCCCCACGTCCACGGGGACCCAGGACGGGGTCTGTGCCCGGTGCGGCAGCCACCGAGCGGGCACCCTGGCATGGCACAGCATGCCCCCGGTGCTGGGCATGTTGCTGGGACCCCACAGAGCCTCAGCAGCCCCCCAGCACCCAGAAGGATGGGATCCCCGCACCCGCATGTCACCATCTTGGGGGTCCAGCCCTGGGGCACCGCGGGGAGGGGGTGAAGCCTGGGAGAGCAGAGGTGCAGGAGGGCGAGGGCAGGCGTGGGCACACCCATGGCAGGCTGCCCTGGCACCCCGTACTCACAGCTGGGCCCCAGCAGCTGGTCCAGGATGGGCAGCGTGTACAGGCATATTTGGAAAACAAAGTGGGCGAGGAGAAAGAGGATGCTGGTCCCCAGCAGAGCTTTGAGGAGGCGGCTGGTGTGACCTGCGAGACACGGGCACCCCATTACCCATCGCCCGAGGTGACCCCAGGATGCGCCAGCATCCCCAGCGGGGACCCAGCACCCCCAGGAAGAGCTGGGAAGGGGTGCACTGCGGCTGTGCCCAGAGATGCCAGGGGTCCGCCTCAGGGACACGGTCCCACCAGGACCTTGCATGTCTCACCGTGCAGCCTCAGCAGCCCCCCAGCACCCAGAAGGATGGGATCCCCGCACCCGCATGTCACCATCTTGGGGGTCCAGCCCTGGGGCACCGCGGGGAGGGGGTGAAGCCTGGGAGAGCAGAGGTGCAGGAGGGCGAGGGCAGGCGTGGGCACACCCATGGCAGGCTGCCCTGGCACCCCGTACTCACAGCTGGGCCCCAGCAGCTGGTCCAGGATGGGCAGCGTGTACAGGCATATTTGGAAAACAAAGTGGGCGAGGAGAAAGAGGATGCTGGTCCCCAGCAGAGCTTTGAGGAGGCGGCTGGTGTGACCTGCGAGACACGGGCACCCCATTACCCATCGCCCGAGGTGACCCCAGGATGCGCCAGCATCCCCAGCGGGGACCCAGCACCCCCAGGAAGAGCTGGGAAGGGGTGCACTGCGGCTGTGCCCAGAGATGCCAGGGGTCCGCCTCAGGGACACGGTCCCACCAGGACCTTGCATGTCTCACCGTGCACCCAGCAGAGCCTAAGAGCATCCTTTCTGCTGCACTACTGGAGAAACTGAGGCACGGAGCAACGCAGGGAGCCAGGGCCCCGGGACCACACTCCCTCCCCTTGCCCCTGCAGCACCCTCCTACCTAGCTAGCACCGTGGGCTTCCCGGCCCCACTGCACCGGGACCCTCATCGGGATGCAGCTCCCCATCCCCATCCCGATCCCCGGTGGAATGTCCGGGGGGGGTGTGGGTGGGTGCCAGGGGGTTCCCTGCACCGCGAGCCCTGTCAGACCTTCCACCAGCTGCAGCCGTGCCCCCATCCCACCCGGCTCCCTGGGCCGCACGCCCGTTTTCCTGGCCACGGGACAGGCAGCTGTGCCCCCACCACAGCTGTGCGCCGGCCCGGGGGGCGGCCCCAGGCCAAAAAATCTCCCTCCGCTTGTTTTTTCCTGTAAATCCGCGCGAAGGCTCTCAGCAGCGCCCGGGCTCCGGGGCCGTGCGAGCCCATGAAATATTCAGAGGGCAGAGCTTTTAGCTGCGGC